ATCACTCGACGGTGACTCCCGCCCCTCCCCCCCCCCCTCCTCCTCCTCCTTTTCCCTCTCCTCTCTGGGTGTCCTCACTCTGCACCAGGTTCTGAATGATCGCGGTGACTGGGAACTTCGCGCTGCTTTCTTCGACAACCTCGTCGGCGTTGCCACGTTTGTTGGGTTAGCTCCACTCGCTCCCTCGCTCCCTCCCTCGCTCCCTCCCTCGCTCCCTCCCTCGCTCCCTCCCTTCCTCCCTCCCTCCCTCCCTCCACTCTCAACATCGCATTCTCCTCTTTGCGTTCATTGCGTGCTCCTGCCCTGTTCTCTTCTGCACCCCTCCACCTTCTCTCCTGATCTCTCCTCTTCCCTCCTCCATCGCGCTCCTGACACCTGCTCCAGAATGGCCGCCTCCCTTGCGTCTCGTTACTTGTCAGTCCTCCTCCTCCTCCTCCTCCAGACCTCGTCAGACTCTCGTGCCCTCCATGCCATGCAGCGTCGCAGCCAAGACAGCCTCGCTCTGCTCAACCTTGTCAGCGCCTGCTCAGGACCTCTGCGACTGCGTGGAGGAGGGAAGGAGAACAAAGGAAAGGGGAGGGTAGAGCAGGAGCAGGAGCAGGAGCAGGAGCAGGAGCAGGAGCAGGAGAGAAAGAGGAAGAAGAAGGAGAAGAAGAGAGAGAAAGGCAAGGGAGAGAAGGGGGAGGGGGATGGAGGGATCGTGGAGAAGGAGGACGATCACGACGTGGAGAGTTTGAAGGAGCCGTCAAAGAAGCGGAGGAAACAGCAAGAATCAGTCGGCAAGGTGGAGCCAACGAGCCAGCTCATGTGTGGGGCAAGTGACAACAGCGGAGGGGAGAAGGTACTCGCAACGAAGGAGCTGGAGGCGAGTTGGGGAGGAGGGAGTAGTTTGGTTGTGTGACTGACATGTTGAATTAAGGAAAGCATCGTAGACGACGAGGCTGATGATGATGAAGTTTGCTACACCAACTCGGAGAAGGAGGAAGAGTTTCAGGTAGTTGAGGAAGGGATTGTTGTTCTGACCAGCACATTCCTGCCTGCCTGTCGCAATGGCTTCTTTTTCACCTTTGATCTCTGTTGTTGTTCCAACACGACAGTGCTGTTATTACACGACAGTGTTGTTATTACACAACAGCGGTGTTGTTGTGAAACAACACTCCCATCTCCCATTACATCTTTTCTCGAACTCAATCAATGCCCCTTACATTGTCATCTTCACCATCTCCCTCGCTTCATTGTCTGACTTCAAACCTCCTTGCTTTCCTTGGATCTTTCTCGCAGCATTTCAAGAGACAGCCGTTGGCTGACGAGAATCTCACGAGGAGATTGTTGAGGTGAACTTTTTGCTGTAAAGTTTCGATCTCAACGACTGATCTCTCAATTCAGCTTGCTTGCTAAGTGCAGAAAACAAGGAGACTTCAAAAAATGTACCAACGAGGTCTGATATTTCTGTATCCTCCCTCCCGCCTCCCAAACTCCCGTCAACCACCTTGTGATTCACTCTCCACCCCTCTCGTATCTCCACGCTCCTCTCCTCTCCTCTCCTCTCCTCTCCTCTCCTCTCCTCTCCTCTCCTCTCCTCTCTCCTCTCCTCTCCCCTCCTCTCCTCTCCTCCCCTCCCCTCCCCTCCTCCACGAAACCGTCGGGGCTGCTTCGTATGAAATGAGTATCTTGTTTGAGAAGCCATCTACTGCACGTGTGTATATTGATAGCTCATACTTCCCCTGGGGCTGTGGAGAAAGATTGCATGTCACCATCGATCTGGAGTCTCCCATGACTGCAGTGCTGTCTCCGCCGACCTCGCAGAGGCTTAGTCCAGGCAAGAAATTCTGACCGTATATCGTCACCACTCCTCCTTTGTTGGATAAAGCTCGCCGAGGTATCACGTTGGATATTTCTGGGACTCCAGCGTCAACAAAAGAGAACGAGCTCGTTACAAGTGATCG